GATGATACTCGTGATATTTCTCTAGAGAGTGTGGGAGAGGGTGATTAGCTTTTGTTCTTTTGTTCTTTTGTTCTCTCCTCTCTTCTCTTTTCTCTTATATTTCGTTTTCGGATTTCGGATCTCCGATTTCTCTTGCGCAATCGTAACATATACATATACATATACATATACATATACATATACATATACATATACATATACATATACATATCATCCATCTCTCCTCCAAAAACATCCAAAGAAATCGCACAATCCCCTCCTTCCCCTCTCCCCTCCCCTCTTCCCTCTCCCCTCCCCTCTTCCCTCTCCCCTCCACTCAAAACCCATCAAAAACAATCAATCAAAAAAAAAAAAGTCAAACTCACAAACAAACCCCTCTCAAAAACATCCAATCCCAATGATCGATCGATCCCAGCACTGCGCAATCTCGATAGCATTTATTGTATATAATTTATATATATAAAAATGTGCACAAGAAACAGAACAAACAGAACAGAACAAGAACAAGAACCTCCCAATTCGAGTCTCGAAGCTACGTACCTAGTCTAGTATCCACCTATCGTAGTATCCACCTTATTACTATCGTAGGTAGGTACTTATCAATCAAATCAACAATCAATCATTCGCCCGTGCCTCCGAAGACTCATATTATGTAATCGATGACGGAATGTGGGGTAGCTACACTACGGAGGTTGAAGGCGTAAGTCGTATAAGCCCTATTTTTAATAAAAGTTGCTATTTTACGAAATTCCAATACTGCTTTTATTAATTCTATTAGATATTCAATTATTCTTTCAAAATTTTGAATTTTAAATTCTTTTATTTATATCTTCAATTTTTAAAATTTGAAAGCTTTTAAAGTTTTAAAAAAATTTAAAAGATTATAAATAGATTTAAAATAGTATTTCCAAAAAGAAAAATATAAATTTCAATAAATTTGAATAATTTTGTTAAAAGTAAAATAAATTTATAATACTTTTATTATCTAAAATTTATTATATAAATTTTTAATCAATATAATAATATTATTAGTTCAAATAATAAAAATAGGATAAAGCTTAATCGCTTTTTGATATGTTTTATAATACTTATACCGTCAACCTCTATACACTATACATCGAGAGTCCTTCCCCGAGCTTGCCGAGTCAAGTTGTACTGTAGTGTAGACCTCATTGTTACTTAATAACTCATGATGAACAATTCTAATATCCTCAGAGTTCTCAAAATATATAAAACGAAATTGTAGTCCTATTAAGCTACTTCTCATTACATATACTGAGCTACATCTCATTCGGCAATAAGAACAACATCTTCAACCATTACATTACCAACATCTCTTTTACTTCACTACGCTTCATTCACCATCATTTTCACAGTTCAATATCACAGTTCAGATAAGTTTACAATAATCGCTAGAAGTATCTTCATTATTAATGCAGGTGACATAAGAAATCGCTATTTTGAACCCCAAGAACATGGTCAAAGGAATTCTGTCCTGTCCCAACCATCACATCATCATAATTCATGGCTGCGTCCATTTATCAACGAACAATCATTAATCTCCATTCATGATTCTCTTTCCATCACCCAGCCCGATAAAACGCTATGGTATCTTTCGATCACCAATTAATTGGCAATTAAGAAGCAAAAAATCAATCAGGTATCAAAGTGAATCCCATGCAAACAAGTAAAGAAAAAACAAATGAAACCATCATCCATCCCCATCCGTTCCAGTTTTGGATTTTTTAACCCCACCAACCCCAAATATGCATTGGTATTATCCGCAGTAGTGGTATCTTATGAAGAAACAATTCCATTCCGCAAAACATAAGAAAAGAGATTATGCATTTGCATCCATCGATCAAGGTAATTAAACTCTACCTTGTAAAACTGGGTTGTTGGATCCCAATTGAGTGTTTCCATTGGTAGGAAGGACATTCTTTTGGTTTGAAGCGCCATTGCCAACAGCACCGTTGCTAGCACTTTGACCCTGTAAGATACCTACACCAGTAGTGCTGGGAAGCACACCTGCGCCGGTGTTATCGAAAGCAGCATCAACTTGTTGATTGAAGTTTTGCTGGCCATATCCTGGTTTTCCATAGTTCTGTCCAGTACCTTGAGGATAATCTTGCTGACCGTAGCCTTGTTGACCATAGCCTTGTTGAGCACCCTGAGTACTTGTGTTACCTGTGTTCTGTGGACCTCGTACGCCACCTTGAGTAACCGAATGTGGCTTTCTTGAGATTTCCTTTGGTTTGGGAAGACTTGTAGATCCTTTGGCACTTCCAATATCAAAGACAGGTGATCTCCAATCAGCGCCTTGTCTAGCATTATTCTTATGCTCGGTTGCCTTGGCTGAGATTCCACCTGGCAAGATAACGTGAGGCATAATCGAATCGTCCATTGTCATAGGCATATTGAATTGCTTATCTGCCACGGATGCTTGTGCTTTTTGTGCCTTCTCCTGTCCCTTGGTCATTTGTCGTTGGAAAGCAGAAAGATATTGTCTGTAAATGTTGGGGATATTCTCTGGATTTTTTTTGGCCTCCTCTTGAGCTCTATCGGCTTCTTGCTTGATTCTAAATAAGAATCCATCGGCTTCTTCAACCTTCTGCTTGATGGCCAACTCGATAGCCTTACAAACAGCTTTTGTAAGAGGTTTGAGCGCCAATGACTTTCCAACGGTGAGCAACGCCTTGTGTCTTGATTGCTTGATCTTAAGCTTGATTTTCTTCATGTTAACTTTGACGCTGTCACATCTCAAGAAGTTTTGACGATTCTTCTCCTCTGAATTGATTGCAGTCAATTTGATGTCGAAACTGAGTCCGGTACCCCCGAGGTAGATATCGAGAATACCCTCGTCGTGGTTGAAAGGACCACCAGATCTCTTGATATAATAAGATATATCTTTTAAATCCATCTGGATGCCTTGAACTGCAATGAAGAATGAGCCTTTCTGTGAGTTGTGGAAACCCTTGCGGCCGAATCTAAAGGAGCTTTCTATAAGGGACATTCAATTAGCAATTGTTCTCAAAAAAGGGGCGATGGCACATCAGGCATGGCCACAAGCAACAAAAGATAGCAATGCATCTATTGTTCTTGCGGGAAGCAGACACAGCGACACACCAGAACAAGGGCAAAGGAAATGCTAGCACATACCATGTTGAATATCGAGCAAGTTAGGCATGAGATTATCACTCTCAACTACTAGATTCTCGATGACAATTTCCATCTTTTGTCCATCTCTGTACTCGATTCTGGGAATTGGTGTGTATCGGATTCTCTCGAGAGCCGCAGGGATAATGACATTGGATAGATCCAAAAGCAAATGACTCTTGAATTTAATGTTACCACTACTGTCGTGGCCCAAGGCATTGAAGAACTTTTGGCAGGTTTCTGCGAAGCGCTTGTTCTGTTCATCGTTATCGAATTCATTTCCGAAGAATTTAATCTCATCAATGATGCGATTAGTATGAGGTCTGTAGCGATCTCTGAGAAGAAAGTTGCCTCTATCGTAGAGCTCGTTCCAATGTTGAGTGGAGCTGTCTTCCAGAATATAACCTTGCTCCTTCAGACACTTGCGAACGAAGGCGTTCATCTGCTGGAACCATTTCTTCAACTCTGGATCCGAATCAGCATCTCGATAGATAGCGTTGATCGAATCGATTAAATCATCGCTTGATGTGTAATTTGCAAAACGCTCAAGGAGCGTCTGGATTTCGTTAGCTTAAATTCTAGTTCTGATGGTTTCAGGGATGTACACACTTTCAAATCATTCTCCGCAGTCTTTAGAGCGCTGTCGGTATGTGCACCTTTAACGGCACCAGATCCGGATTGGCTCAGATTGTGTGCATGTCCCCCATACTGCTCGGCTAAGTCGAGAAGAGTGTCGATAGATTGCATATCTGCTAAGTGTTAATTCTGAAATAAACAAACCGGCAAGTAATTGGTAAACTTACAATCTGGATGACCTTGGATCTCCACAACCATCTTCTTAAGTCTGTGAATAATATTATCACGGCGTTCCTCGGGTAATTTTTTTTGAAGGTAGTTCTTGGTTCTATCTCTCGTCTCACGGCCTCGTTCTTTAGTCTCCTCGGGGATGTTCTCAGAAGCACGTTGCTTCAGGGCATTTGCACCAGCTTGAGCACCAGCCTGGCCATCGATTCCAGAGGCAGTGTCGTATTGTTGATCACGACCAGCCAATTGAGCAGTATCTGCTGGGTCACGCGATCCACTTGGGTGAGCTTGTTGATTAGCATCGCCAACGGCTTCCTTGACATCGTTTTTGTCGATGGGTTGATTCTTTTGGAATTTTTGCTTCATCTGATTCTTCATGTTACCAGCTGAAACATTTGGATTTTCATGCCAGGTATTATCATCGGCGGGACGATCAATTTGATTCAATTGATCTTCAGATGGGTTTAGCCTGCCAGCGGCATTACTAGCAGCGTCACCAGCAATATCGCGTAAAAGGACGACAGCGTCATTCACTGATTCAGATATTAGTATTTGAGGTGGATTTGAGTATACCACATTAACTTACAAAGCTTGCGGAATTGTCCATTGGTTAGAATTAATTGACCGAGAGTCTTGAGGCCTCCCTTTGCCTCTTGACCGTGTTGTTTGGCAGTTGCCTGATCAACAGGAGCTCCTGGAACGGCTGCTGCTCCGCCGTCAAGACGCTCACATTGCCAAACAAAATCTTGGAAAAGTTCGTCTCTGTTCTTGGTGAGAAGAAGGAGTTTTGCCTGTTCGACCACGGAACGAAATTGTTGAGCTAATTCTTGACCTTCATCGGAAAGTCTTTTGGATGGCGATTTGAGAGCCTTCGACTCCAGGAAACTGTTGAGGGCAACATCGATTTGATTATTCTGTACATCGAAAATTAGCAAATGCGCGAGGGAATGGAAGGATGAGAAACAAAATACTTACAGATGGAACTTTTCCAGCTTGGAAAGCTACGCGCATTTGTTGTTAGTAAAGTTGTGTATATACTCATCTGCCGGTGGCAAGGGAGAGTCAAAGCATACCTTGGTACATTCCGTAAAGTTTTAATTTAAGATTGATATCATTTTCCTTTTGGGCGTCATTGACAGGCACGTTGACAGACATGATTGCGGTTTATTGATTAGTATTGGGGTATCTAGGTATCACGAAAGAAAAGAAAGGTTGTAGAAGAGTTCGAAATAGAAGAAAGAGACTTTCTGTCTACTCGAATATCAAGAGTAAGAGACTCGTGGGAGCTGAAGTAGTAGTATATGTAACGTATGAGGTAATGAGGTAATGAGGCGTCTTAAACTTGATGTGTTGTTTGCAAGTAGCAATTGATTGGCTCTTTGAAGGGATGGATGAATAAAGAGGTGAGGTGAATTAAAATATAATGACGATGTTGATTTTTGGAAGTGGGATAATGGGATTGAGATCCAAAAGTTATTAAAGAAGTTGGTATGTGGATGGTTGTTGGAGGTATTGGGAATTGGGAATTGGGTATTGGGAATTGGGAATTGGGAATTGGTATTGGGTATTGGTTGTTGTGGTGTTGTTGTGGTGTTGTTGTTTTCGTACGAGATGGTATGGATGGTATGTGAAATGTGAAGGGATGTTTATCGTGCGTGTATCAAGAATATGAGGAAAGAGAAGAGAAGAGAAAAGTCAAGCAAAGCATGATATGGGGAAAGTCGAATCTTTTAATGCCATCACACTTACTTCATTTTCTGACCTTGTATCATCCAGTACCTACTACCTACCTACCTAGTACCTACCTACGTTCTTGCTTTTCTCTTGCCTTGTTTTTCACTCCCACTTGCTTGTTCCTTTACCTGATCTTGTTTCTTGCCTTTGGATTTCATCTGATCATTACCTCCGCAGTACCTCCTTCTCTCTCCTCAAACCTTGCTCGAAACCATGGGAGCCTTGTTTGTTCTTACTAAAGAGTGGAGCTGCATTGCCCAAGTAGGTAATTACCTATCCCTGGTTGTGGCGGGTGCGGGTGAAGAGCAATCACATCTACCGGGACTGGACGTTCCCATTGCCCTACGTCACTTTTGGTAACTGAGCTCATCGCTGAGCTAAGCACGGAGCTAATCCCTTTCATTGGCGGACACCAACGCCACGTTCCGTCCCACATTTCCCAACTATAACCATGAATAGACTAGACTGAAGATCTCCCGTCCAATTTGTATGGATGTGGATGGACAAACTCAATTGAATTTCATTTGCATCCAAGAGAAATTCTTTGGGGAAATCAAATCAAATCAAATGAAATCAAATCAAATCAACATCTAGATTCCAATTCGACTGTTGTGCTAACGCGTCATGATTCCAACGAGATTCCCATGGTTGTCGTCCCATCGCAATTGGTAGATGGATGCTGCAATACCGGTATTCTTCATTTATCGATACCTGGGTATCTATTACCTACCTAGTACCTACATCGCCTCCCAAAGACATCCATCAACATCAACATGAACATGAAGGTAACTCAAATACTACCCAAGTATCGTAGACCAACATCAGAAAAAGTCTGACCCTTGTAGGTACCTTGTACGAGTAGGTAACATTCAATTAACACTATCTGTCTGTCTGTCTGTGTAAATGTATGAAGTCATAGCTGTATCGAGGGGTCCCAATGAAGAGATTGGATACGATATTATGTAATCACCTTCCACGCAATCAAATCAATTTGATATGTACTACGTCGTATGTAGCAATGTTTCAACATCTTGTTTGACCGAATAAAGAATTTGATAGCTTCCTCCCTCTCTCTCCCTTCCTCCATACCTACCTAGTATTAATAATTAACATAAGTATATATCATAAGGTTACATACATCTCACTCATCAATACCTACCTAGTACCTCCCTACCTAGTACATCCTCAACCCCCATCCAGGAAACTTCCATCATATCATTATTATCATAGATAAATTCGACACGTCAAATAAATCCAACAGCAACAACAGCAACAACAATAACAACAACCACAACAACCACAAAAAAAAAGATCGACACTAGGGAGTTTAACTATTTTCTTGGTCAAACAGACAGACATGGATACAGATACGTCAGAAGTGAGGGGTTACCTAGTACTCCGTAGCGCCTACGATACCTCATACCTAATCATCACTATCATGGTAAAGGAGAGAATCGCATGTTGGGGGGTGAGTGAGGCCCAAGACAATAATAATAAATCCTGGTAACCGCCCTGTCTGGAACAAAATCAGATTGTCCAGGCCAGGTGTGCCGCTATGTATGTACAGTACAGTGTACAATTGTGTAGCCTCGGAATTTTAAAACTTAGATGTGAGCAGGTATCTCTCAAACCTACCTGAGTGCCTAATCGTAAGAGATTGAAATATCAATCATTGATAAATTGTTAATAATTTTGCTATTGGGTATCTGAAATAGAGCTGTATCATCGATATCGTCTTCAACCTCCTAGTACTACCAAAGTAACAATAAAATCCCCGCCGTATCTCTAACTCAATATTATTTTGCTCCCAGTCATTCCTAATTACTGACTCTGAGATAATGAGATAAAATGATATGAAATGTGGTAAAATCATGATTTCAAAATCATCGCTACCTGCTTCCATATCTCGCTCCCAAATACCTGATGCTATACCCAGCATCGTTAAAATCTTCCTAGTTCTCCACCATCATGCGCCATAAATTCAATTCTCTCCCTTGCTTGTCTCCAATTCACACCCCCAGTCACCACGTGGTATCTTATCGTCTTCCCGTTGTACTGGCGTTCTGTGCCGTCTCTAATTGTTGTTTCCAGATGCCATACAATTCTTTAATCTCTTTCTCCTCCTTCCACTTGTCGACAATTCCGTTAACTTCCTTCTGTCTCTTCTTTGCACTCATCTTGTCTCTCTTGGCAAGCTTCTCAATAGTGAGATGGCCTTGACTTTCCAGACTGCCTATCACCCATTGGTTAAGTGCATACTTCAGATGAATGAGTGTATGTGCATTCTCCGCGTTTTCCTTACAGACACTATACGGTCAGGTTAGTCAAAATCCGTACCCCAATATGTACGCAATTGTAACTTACGAGCCGACCATGAACTCTTTGTCTTGAGGTGGTAGAGGTTCATCTCTGCTGTTCAAACTCCGCGTGTCCTTCTCATCATCAGAATCATCTTCCTCGTCATCTTCCTCGGTATCACTATCATCTTTCTCTACTTCGGCTAAGCTGTCCCTGTGGTACGCAGATCCCTTTAATGTGATACCAAAAGTTGGTATATGCTTCCTACGATTACATGCCTCGCATTTGACCTCTCCTAAAAGATCAATCGCTTCTCCTGGAGCAAGTCTCCTGATGATGAATTCGGGGCGGGCGTAGAGACCTTTGGTAAAGTCACGAGTCCATGAAGTAGAAACAAATTTGCTACCAGATAACCCACTGTATGCATCTTCGAGCTTATTCCACGCCGCCTTGTAGATGGGCATAAGATTTTGGTTGAAACCTGGATTAATCTTGTTTTGAACACACCATTCAACTGCTTCCACAAAATGTTCTCTGAGGGGTTTGTGAGCTGCGGCCGTGAGATGTAGAGGAATCATAGCGTAATCTGGTACTCCAAGAAGACCAACGTCATCGTCATCAACAAAGTCCGAATCGTACTCGTCCTCGTTCTCTCGTACAGGCTTCTTTGGCAATTTTCGTTTGCGCGTTTCTTGAACCTCCTCTTCCACTTCCTCGTCTTCTTCATCTTCAAAGGTAGTCAATGCATCACTACCCGAATCATATAAGCCCCCAACTTCTTCCTCATCAGACTCAGATTCTGTAAGAACAGGGTTGCTTTCTCCAGCACGCTTGCGTTTGAGAATCTCTAATTGCTTCTGCTTAGCAGTTCTGTGCTTCCTAGGCGGTCCTCTTCGTTTGACTTGTGGGGAAGGAGCTGGGCTGTCAGATTCGGGGGGAGTCGTCTTGGACAACTTAGTCATGGGCGGCAAATCATCATCTGAATCACTCTCATCCACGACCCTCGTTCTCTTTACAGGCGATCTAATAATACTATCCTCATCATCAGAAATGATGGTAGGACGCTTTCTCTTCATGGGTGAGGTTAGAGGCTCGTCATCCGAGTCATCAGAATCAATCTCAAGTGCAACTTGCGGGAAAATCCGTGTTTCTTGACGACGTCTAGTAGAAGATGGAAGTATATCATCCTCGGAATCCTCATCGGCCTCCTCACAAGATTCATCGCTACTTTCTATTGGCGCAGCTAGCTTCTGACTAAATAGGCCCGGACGTTGTGAAGGTCTAGAGTTTGATGCGAATACGTCATCGTCACTTGTATCTGACAATGTTACCGATCTTTTCTTTGGGGTAGTCTTCGGGGGTGTTGGAGGTTTGGGGCTATGAACTAGGGCTTTTGATGCCCTGCCTCGATTTCCAGAAGAGGGTAAAGGGGCGTTATATGTACTTCCACCTTGTATAAAGCCTCGACCTGTGAGCGAACGTCTCCTCGATGAACCAGCTCCAGAAGATTTTGTAGCAGAACCTGTGATCTCAATATCCGAGTCGTCACCTGAAGCTTCTGTGGCAGCGGTTTCCGCTTTATTCTTCTTCGATGGAGTCATTACTTCAACTTCAATTGTAGACTCATCTCCCGAATCAGTGGCATCCTCAATAATTGGCTCCTTCATTTTTGAACCACGAGTGCTTCGACGTGATCCGCTAGTTACTTCTGTATCTGGAATAATAATTTCCTCTTTCTGTGAGCTTTTCGCGGGTGTTGGCAATGATCCAAAACTGATTTTTCCATCTCTCGCATTCTTTCCCTTGCCCCCGGATTTTCCTTTGGTACCCGAACTTGCTTTCAACGGCGACCCTGAAGACATCCCACTGCGTGTAATCCTTCCTCCATTTCCTGCAGATGTGCCGCCATTCGTTCTCTCGTATCGAACCTTCGCAGGCGATGGTCCTTGGCTTTTCGCATGTGAATCTAAAGGTACTTCGGTGGAGATTGGATCGAAGGTCAAACGTGTTTGTTTTTTGCGCCGCTCCTTTCGAGCTATATTTGAAGAGCCCATTGCCGCAATCTCGAAGGCTGCGGGGTTGTTTTGAAAGTTGTATCTGATGTTTGATCGTAAAGTTGCAAGATTGAACAGAATCGCAAAAGGTGAATCGAGATTTGAGACAGGATGTATTATATTCGCGAACAGCAACCAGTAATTATTTTCAAATGGTTTGTAAAAGAATGCGACGGCGAATGCAATATCATAGATCGTAAGATGGTTGTGGAAACAAAAGCAAAGAAATGATCTGTAAACCACAGAGGCAAAAGTGACGCGGGGAATCGCGCCAAAATTACGAAATCACGTGCCCTAATTTTTGATATCTTTTAGTGTGGGGAAATGAGCCGCTTTGCTTGACAACGAAGATCTCTTCTATCAACATGCGAATTTCAATCGTCTTTCACAATGGGATTTCGCATGAATGGGTACACTGAATGATATCTGCACACTCTATGAGGAGGGGTCTGAGACAAGGCGTCTAATGATCCTGACTGCAAAGATTATTAAATCCCAAAACCAATTAGAACATTCAAATCGTCTGAGACTTTGACTTTGATTGGAATATTGAACTATTTTCAGAATTCTAATTGCTTTTAGACGTTCAGCACTTATATTTTTGGACTGCAGTCCGGACTATTGGATACTCTGGGACTCTGAGGACTGTGCTACTGTTTCCCGTATAATTTCCTCTTGAGAGAACCATGTGCGGATGTTTAGTCAAATTAATGAATGCAACGACCTCCTCAACTCAAGATTCATTCTGAGCTCACAAGTGTGACCTGGAACTTTCTGGTGTGAATCTTCGAAAGCAATTCTTGAGTTTCTTTTTCTGTTTCACTTGAAGTATCATGTTCTGGTATGTCGCTTGCCAAATGAAATACAAAATCCTATATCTCTTTACTCTCTCTGCATGTGTAAGAGCCCGTTCCGACAATGAATTTTGTCATCCAGTATTCTGTCTGTCTACACTCAAAGGAGGAAGTCACCGTTCTAGGATTAGAAGCCACCTATTCGGTTGTATTTTCGCTTATCACGTTGGTTTCTTTCAAATTGTCATTCTCTTGATTTTGCATTCATTTGAATTTGGACATTAGAATATTAATGTCGGGACGGCACAGGAACAACATTTTAATAATCACCTACTGTGAAGTTTAGGTACATCGGAGCTTTCTTTTCCAGCGTACTGAAAGTTTGTATTCTTCCATTTGAACCATCTCCTTACTGAGGTATGCATTCATGGATTCATAAGGTTGCTCCACATAATACCCGCATCTTCTCATAGCTCTTTCCTCCCCAACATCTCCCATATCTACCTTTACCTCTTCTTTCCCTCTCAGTACCTTGGTGCAGGGCTCTGACTTGACTTTATAATTCAATCTATGCATGAAATAATCAAAACAAATGATATAGTGTAGTGGTCAAGCTCCTCACTTTTCACTCTACAACCTCAATGAGATTCGCTAACATGGAATAACAGCAATTGGTCTCGTGGTTTTATTCTTTGAATAACAACACTTGTTCTAGTAGTTTAGTTCCGTTTGTTTTTGCAGTGTTCAGATACCCCAGCACTTACTATGTTGCTCTTGATAGTCTGAATTCCGCCACTTTCAAGAGAAGACGCCTCATGGTTAGTGAGCAAATTGAGACGTGGTATGCATATAACTTTCTCATCAACAAATGCCAGACCTTGACCACACAATTCTTTTTTGGTTATTGAGAACCGACACCCACTTAAAATAAAAAATCTTAAGGAAATGTATATCTTATATAGGATTGGTGGTCAAAATTTTGACCAGTCTGCAAGTGTGAAGTACTCAGAGAGTGCATGCGCGATTAGAGCCCTTTGCTTCAAGCAAGCCTTGAGATCAAGGTAAGCGACTGGTGCAATCATAAGCTCAAGAACTGTGGGGACTTGTGTGAATCCTTTGCAAGATGGACTTCCGTGTTTGAGAGCCATGGAAAATCCCCTGTTACCAAGGTGGTTTCTATCAACTTATTCAGAGCTCAGATCTATTTGGGAAATGTATAATCGTACTACCACGATGTTCAGTAATCTGAGATACCTTATCGATCATGGATAGCTATTTAATTGTTCATAACACCAACTTACAGCACTCGAAGTTCAACCCGATTTGATTGATGTGGTGGCAGATGGCAGAGAAGCCATACAATAAGTCCAACAGGTCCAATACCCAACCTGCCCTGTAATGTTTAGGATGTTAAGCTCACAACTCATTAGATTATTCACCGATTTCCATCTCTATGGCCGCTCCACACGACGCCCACACGAGATTGGCTACTATGGTGGCGATGTGTCGCCTAACTTACATGATAAAAATGGTGTTCTTTTCTCCGAGTCCTCAAGATAAATGGGGCCTGCTGTATATCAGTATGAGAAGATAGCTCACCCATTGCAAGGAGATCATTGGATCGTTAAATCTATTGATGATTTGAGGTTGTCAAAGGTTCATTACATGAAGCCGGTTTATTTCTTCGAATGATTTAGGAGGAAAATGAAATGAGTTTGAAGATAGATGCAATAGTTGTTCCCACGGGTACTGCGAAGGTTGCAATATCTCCATATCGTGGCAGCTTTGGCAGAAAGTGGAAGTGATTTCTAAATAGACCTTGTACAGGTTGTGACCGATGCTGAGCTTCTGGAACTCATAAACTCCTCGTTCCCAGCAATGAGTAATCATAGCATTGTCTGGTGTTATTCTTAAACGCTCGAAGTTTTCTTCCAAACAGTAGAGGAATGTTCAATATTGAATTCTGACTTGACAGAAATATGAAGCTTCCTGGACCCAAATGAATGTGTCGATTGAAGCTCAGTGAGACTTTTTGTATTCTTACATATTCATATTCAGACTCCGTGAAAAGTCACACAATGAATATGGTCTGCATGCGTAGAATCAGGGTCTGATTCATGAGGAATCACCTTCAATGAGTAAATTGGCATATATGACAAAGAAGTTAAATTGTCGGTCGACTTGTCATTGTGCGATATCTGACTGTTCAATGACGGAAAAGACGTTTCGACTAATTGATCACCAAGTATATTGTTAAATTCATATAGAGATACGCCACATGAATAATGTCAGTACACTAATTCTATGTGCTTAAGAGCTTTGACGATCTCCTTCTCAGACTTGTTCTTCAAAGTTCCTCTACATCTTTACATCATACTGTGGAAAAGTTTCAGGCGACCAATACTTACAACATTATCGTGTGGCATCGATACATCTTCACATCTCTACTCACTCATCTGCAACTCTACCTACCTCTTCCCCTTCGTTGGCTTACCCTCAATTGTCGGGGTTTAAATTCACGTCGAGTAAGTCTTAATACTATAATATCATTTCCCGGAGGCTAATGGCATAGATACGTACACAAACATCAACCCATCAAACTTCAAGCTGACGCATACACGCGATGTCAAACCACCATGGTCCTAACCATGCCTCCCTGCCTGCTATTCCCTCGCCCTACATCCCACCCAACTATCGTCCAGCCAATTCTGGCTACTCCACTCAAATGACCCCTCATTATTTCAAACCAAACCCTCCCCAACCCAACTATCGCCCAGCCAATCCTGGCTAATTCACTCAAATGACCCCTCGTTATGTCAAACCAAACCCTCCCCAACCCAACAATCTTACATTCAACTATGGAGCCAGAAATGGCAATCATAGTAGCAACAAACCTCGGGACGAAATTTGCCACACTGCATTTCGCCTCTGTGGACGCTACCAACGCTTCGAACTTAAACCTTCCGAGCACTCTTCGCGCCCTAAGAACACCCTTCAGAAAGAACGTTGTGAGGACTGCAAAGCTTGTAAAAATTGTTTCGCGGCTAGATACCAAATACATGAATTCAGGTTTGCACCAGAAAGGGAAGGATTTCGAGAGTTCCTCAATAATGAGCTAATAGAACTGTGGACAGGAAAGAATAGGCTGTTCGTGGATGGATTTGTCGACAGTGACAATACGCCCTCTTTTGATTTAAGGCAGATTATGGATGTCATTTCGAAAGCTCCGAAGAAATTCAAGGATGAAAAAAAAATAGAGAACGCGAAAAAAAAACAGATGCGCAAGCAACAGAGAAAGCAGCAAAGACAACGAGAAAGTACACCAGAAGTGGCATGGGAATTGCCTTTGCGAATCCACTCCTCGCAGATGGCACGCACACATAGTTATTCGCCTGACAATGAGCAAGATCGTTACCCATTGATGGAGCGCTCATATTCGCAGCCTTTGGGCTAGGCTCCAGGCATGCCGAGAAGGATATGGATTTTAGAGAGAGCTTTCTTCGGCGAGAGGGATTCTGTGGACTCATATTAATTTCATATGTTTAACATTTCATAGAAGAATAATCAAGCCTGACTTTACAAAAACCCAACATGGTTAAAGTATTCCCGTTCCAAAAATCGTATGAATATGTGTGCATTTCTGACATATGAATCATTCGAAAAGATTTTTCTCAACTTGACAGTCACATAAATCATTGCAATGTCTCACCGATATCTTAATGCCAAAACTTCATATGCCATAGACCCATCGAATCTTTTCTTTGCAATATTCGTGCCATATACTGCTACTAGGATTACCAACGGGTGTAAGGACTGATGGGACATTGTAAATATTGACTTGACAATATTTTTCCGAGGCTCAGCTCAGAAATCTCGAGAATTGTTACAATGGCTTATCAAAAACTGATAAATGAAGCAATTGAGTCTCATGTTAAAGAATTGAAGAATGAATTTGTGACAAAATCTTGAAATTGAAAAGTGTCCTGTCAGTCGATACACCCACTAGTGGACTATTGAAGTAAACCGCAGTATCAATGTGAAGTTATTTTCACATCGCTATTAGATCTTTGGAGATTTAGGTTATATATGTGATATGAAAAACATTGCTGAGGCCCAAATGCAGATAAATATACTTTTTCGGATACGGACAAAGTTGGTTCTGTGCGGATGAGTACTTTTTGTCCCACTCCTCGCCTTTTCCCTCCCTTCTGTATGCATAACACCTCGATAATATACCACAAAGACCCTTCAAGTAGCCAATTCGAAAAACATCGTTCTATAATATACACTCACCTTTTCGCGGCCACGGCATCTTATCCATGATTCTTGCTCATTATCATTTTTTAAAATCGCATCAAGTAAGTTTCGCTATTCGTTTACTATTGTACAATCGTTATAGAAATAGGAATTCCTCATAGACGCTTCAGTATCTCCAACTTCAAGCAAACCCATACACATGATGAGAGGCAGTCTAAGGTCTTGCTCTTGCGACCCGAATGAAAGATATCATAATCCAGATAATTATATCTGTTATATAAGTAGTTTGAAGAGATCTAGCGATCAAAAAGATGAAGCATCGAACAACCGAATCGAAGGTCGCACAGTATATAACGTATACGTGTGTGGGGTCATACTAGCACATGAACTTGATTCCTTCCGCGATGACTTACTTCGTCCTACATTTATGCTCAAAAAAGCTGTTTGCTGTACCGCTGCCGAAAAATGCTGGGGCTGTAACATAATTACTAGCCTCATAGAGGATAATCTCGATCGAAATGGGAAGCCGTGGCGTGTCATTGTTATTCAGGTGCTCTGGGACGAATGGATTCGTCTTGGACGCAGAGGCTATGGATTTCGAGATGGCGAGTTGGCCCCTATACCAAAATTAGGAATAGATTGGTTTAAGAGGATGGTTGAGAACCAGAGCAAACTTCAAAAGCTCCAGTCTCTTCATCTTGTCAAAGGGAATAATCAGGTTCGGAGCCGAAAGCATGTAGATAATTAAAATGTTCCCCTGGCAGAGCACCAGAGAGTCAAAACAACGGGCTTGAACGAGAATGAGTTTGATTCATTCTTCTCAAGTTATTTTCTTACAATTAAGATTCTTTTCCGTGAATTAGATATTAGTTGACCTATCTTTGTTTCTCGACAAAATGCAAAGATGATTCAGCATCGTGAAGTGGAATCAATCATAACGGTAGAGACTATTATGAGTGGTAAAGCTTGAGCAATTATGAATGTCACTCAGAACTTTCTGAGTCAAGCCCCATTCTATGGTATACCCTATGTAAGCCGCTGAGTCTCCTTGGAAAACTTTCTCCTCCACATTTCAACGTTTAACTACAAGACACTTCCCAAAATATGAGTTCATCAACGCCTCCACGTACTACCAGAGGGGTAATGCAATACCTTTTGAGCTGTGATGCACCTTCTCCTGCTACTCCTCAGCCTTCTAAATACACACCAACGGCGAGAAACCAAGTCCCAGTCGGCAGTGTTTACGAAGTCTTCGACAAATACTATCGCAATGTCACCAAATTTCACATCTGCGGCCACATTGGCGACAAAATAGCGGTGTCAGCCGACGAAGTATGTTACACCTTGCCCGATGCCTGCTATTGGATATGCCCCGAAGCCTGTGAAGAAGGGTTTGGAACGAAGTCATGTGGACAGGATAACGCAGAATTACTTGGCATGACTGGCGAAGAGGCGCGTAAAAGTTCCGCGGGACTTTTGTATAAACAGTGGGGAGAATATTTGACAAAATGTCAAGAAATGAAAAGACCGTTGTCGGGATATGAATCAGTACATGCCAGAGTAATTATGAAAGGATGGAAAGTGAGTCAATGGGAGGAAATGGAGACACAGATGCAGATAGAGAAAGATTTGCGGAGGGAGAATGAAAAGACGAAGAAGCGATTGTGGTAGAAAGATTGGAAAGATTGGAAAGATTGGAAAGATTGGAAAGATTGGAAAGATTGGAAAGATTGGAAAGATTGGAAAGATTGGAAAGATTGGAAAGATTGGAAAGATTGGAAAGATTGGAAAGATTGGAAAGATTGGAAAGATTGGAAAGATTGGAAAGATTGGAAAGATTGGAAAGATTGGAAAGATTGGAAAGATTGGAAAGATTGGAAAGATTGGAAAAAGATATGCTCAATGAATGGTAGACTGTACCGCCAGAAAACCAACCGATACGGAGGTTAGAATAGACAGGATATGTACCCATGGTTAAGAAGGATCGGAGTGAGCAGAAATTGCAATGGTAGATGCATAGATACCGGAAGTAATGGACATGCTGAAAACACCCCATGATCAATATTCACTTCAAGACGTCGTGATCGGCCAATAGAAACCCTCACGTTCCAACTCCCAGTCGCCCATATATATCCAAACAACTTCGCAACTTATAACTAATAATCCGCTTCTGGTGCAAGTGGTAGAGCGATCACATCAACTACCATAAAACGAGGTCGAGGATATTAGCCACAGGCAGCTACAGACCACGCACCTGGGAGGATAACAAAGTCGACGTTATCCTTTTGTCATCCTGAAGCTCGCTTTATTTATTTTTTCGGCCTTCTTTTGATTGTTTTGAATTTATGTGGACAGCTCCAGCTAGCCTTTTCATTTCGTTGTTTGCTTTCATTTATTTCCAAAGTCTGCGCGGCAGTAGTGTGAATTTCGAGGAGTGTCGAGATGCATTTTTTTTGGCAGGCTTGTATGTCTCCACTTTCAACCATATTCACTATGGTATAATTTACGAGCATATGTCTTCAAATATCAGAAACTCGTCACTAGTAAGTTGTGATTCATGGAGAGAACTCTAACACACCCATTATGAATCCCCTATGAGTTTATTGCTAGAAAGCGCGACGTCAATCGACTTACGTCGGCGTCTGCGGTTCAAGATACACCCATTCGAGGCTGCAGAAACGAAAGAGCAGAGGCAACCGTGCAAGTCACAGAAAGCTGTCGCACTAACAAAACATTAAAGAAGTTGCAGAGTTTAAGAAGGGAAATTCTTGGTTATGTTTTCGAGTTGGTATATGAGAGCTAGGATTACAACGCCCGGTGCCAAACTGTTAATTTTGCCTAATATCTGCTTTCGCATACTTGGTATCGCCCGGAGCCAACTTAAAAGGCAGGCTAGCTACGGAGACATCCAAAACAGCTGGATGTATACAGGTACTCAACGCTACGGGAATCAAGAATAGGGATGATGGTGGCAGAAAGCCATCATGCGCTTGCGGTGCTTTTGGTATCATGAATTGGTGGAAGTAGCTGGGTAGAATGCCCGAAGAAGAAACGAACACCAATAGCAACACATTGTTTCACAATGCAGCGTATAGCTAATTGCCCAAATCGTATAGACAGATAGACCATACCAATACCAAGGTCCAAAGTCCAAACATGAAGCGAGCTTCATCATTCTTTATGACCAGCTTGGCCATTCATAAATTTCACAAAAGATAAATCAGATCAAATGCAAATCACAGCCAAACAACAAAACGGTACTCAAAAGATGTAAATATATTGCATAAGCTAATAGAACTAAACCACCATTCCTCCCAAGTCCTTAAACTCATCCCACCAAATATCAAATGTCTCCTAAAGGAACCGAACACAAAACTCATCGACGAGCTTCATAGTCAGGACACCTCAAGGAAAAGTCTCGAAGAATCAAAATCGTGACCCGGGTTTTATTCTTGCTTCACTGTCCACACTTGCTCGCTCTGGGTTGAGACTCGGCAAGCTCTAGCAATATTTTGAAGCGGATGTTGGGGGGTTCTTCTGTTCCAAGAAGAATAGAGATGATGATGTGCTGAAAGAAGAATACCTACTTGTCTTAGAGAAGAACAATAAATTGACAATTGATTCAAAGCTGCATGTTGTTGAGGATCTCATTGATTGAAGATCTCTGCATGAATGAATGCCATTGTGTACATGATAAAGAAAGAATTGGAATATCAAGAAAAATTTCGAGGTTTTCATACGGCTCACTAGTTTCTGCGCTAGCGAGAAAGCTAGTCTAATATAGGTATAGCCAAATGGCCAATCCACAATACTCCACTTCAGCCTCGTCAATAAGGCCTTCGCGTCATGCATATGGCGGGCGAACTTTATCAATATCCAAATGCAACTCGCGATTTTATTTTATCCCCCGGTCCAGTTTGCCTTTTCACAATAACATCCTTTGCGCACCTTTTTATTCTATTGCTGGGTATACAGAATGGTATTCCCCCACCGCCCCATTTTCCAAATCTAACAAATGACTAACGAAAACCCCAGCCAGCAAAACGCAAAGATGCCTCTGCGCCAGCAGCTGGACCGCGGTCCAAGCTAGCTAAAGAACACAATATTACCGCTGCGGAAGAAACAGAGATCAAAGAGGCATTTTCATTATTTTCGCAAAAGATGGAGGGCGAGAAGGAGGGCGTTATTGCTATGGGTGATGTGAGGAGGGCGTTGATGTATGTGCTACTTCTCTTTCGCTTTTTAGAGCGTTCATTTCTCTGCTTGATTTATTGTGTACACGACAGTAATTCCCGTGAGTGAAGATATGTACTAATTATGAAACAGCGCCCTAGGACTAACCCCCACCCCCTCCGAACTCCGCGAATACCACAGCATCCTCGACCCGGAAGACGAAGGCTTTACTGTCTATCGGCATTTCGTTGCCATCTGCGCTATTAAATTTCATTCCCGGACTCGAACATCGGACTCACATAAGAAAGATGTAGATGATGCGTTCCGTCTATTTTCAAATGCTGGACAGAAGAAGGGCGGCAGTGGAGGCGGAGAGGACATGGGAAGAATTACATTGGCGACGTTGAAGAGGGTTGCGAGGGTGTTAAAGGAGGATGTGGATGAGGAGTTGCTGGTTAGTATGTTATTAGAGGCAAATGGCGGACAAGGTGTTGGGAAGGGCGTGGAGAGAGATGAGTTTGAAGATGTGATGAGGAGGGCGGGGATGTGGAGGTGACGGTTGGGTGAATGGGTCAATTTGACATCTGATGAGCGATCTTGAGCACTTGGCGCACGTGGAGTTTTGGGACATAATTTATTGGTGGCATTCCTGGCATGAAATTTGGGATTGGATTGAAATTACCCTCGATGGAGTTAAATGCACGGGGAAACAGGAGTCTAGCGAAGCATTGGTTTGTTGCACATATTCCATTTATTTAGCTGATTGCTCTTAGTACGAACGCCGACAAGATTATGCAAAATCCGGTCCTATCCGACAAAAACACCTTTCCACCTCGTGGATAACTTTCCTTATCTGACCTTAAATGATATATTTGTGACGCCAATTCCCATATAATTCCCATGATATCATGAATGAAACAGCTAGTTTAAGCCGCTGGAACCTCCGTCTGAATTTTAGATGCAGTAGGCTCAGTCTGTGCGGACTCGGATGTGCTTTCCGCTGGTGGAGCTTTGAATCCGGCGTGATCTGAGTGTTTCTTGTAGAAGAAATTGTCGGGCTTGGGTTTCAGTTCTTGGGGAAGTTCCTCCATTACTGTAGCAAGTAACGCATCGATGGATTTCTGTTTCGAGGCATCACGGTGCCAGATTGAGATAAGGTGAGAATTGAAACGAACGGAGAGTCCAACACCACAAAGCTGATCGCCTATTCGTATGTTAGTATCGATTCCCAGTAGTGTTCCATTTCATAGCCTTCCCACTTCCAACCCGTGAACTAGAACACTTGTTCATAGAGCACCCAGATATTATGGCGACCAAGAATTTGATGTCTTTAACTCTCTTCCATATTTCGATTCCAATTGCTGGTGAAAAGGGGCTGGCATTTTCCAACCGAGAGATTCGTGTAAACCCGCTTACCTGATTCTAAACAGCCTTGAAGCTTCTCTCCGATAGCCATCAATTGAACTCTAGTGAAAAAGTCCGGACCATTTTGCTTAGGGACCCTAAATGTCCAACTACCTCCATTGATATTCCTTCTATCTTCCCATACTGGTTGGAACCCTTGTTTGAATAAATAAATCGACTCTCTCATTTTAATCTGATCGAACGGGGTATTGTTACAATAACGCCAGAAGTCCTGAATCGATTCGACTTGTGTAGGAAGCTTGTCAAGGGTAGCAGTATAACTGCCATCTGCGGCAGGCTTTTGATCCTTCTGTTGTCTATTCGGCACCCCGTTAGCAATGGAACTCAATCCAATACCCCACAGAATCCACATATCCCATAGAGAGAAGCACTGACCTATCGAAATATATATCCCAACAATGTTGCGTCGGCAATGGACGCATTGCTTTCAGCATATTCTTTTTTGCATCGTCGCGGGCAGGAGATCCAGTATCGCTTGGTCCGGAGGTGGAAATTCCTCGCGTAATGAGCGATGGTCGTAAAGCCATATTGTATAAATGGTATATGTGTGATATTAAGACTGTGATATTGTATAGTGGGATACTCGACTGCTGTTACCGCTCTCAAGAAAGAAATAATAAGATACCAAGAGATTGACAAAGCTAAGGGTGGGATGGACAGAAAAGGGTGGTAGAGAGGATGAAAGAGAAAGCAAATCGTATTATTGTACAAAGGATGAAGTGATGTAGTAACAGTGGCGCCAAGAGAATGCACAGCAGATCACATCTGAAGCAAGTGGATTCAGGATGAAACCCTGAAACAAGCGCCCGAACGGCCCTCTCAAAGAGTAGATACCCCTTGCAATGTTCATTTGCCCTTTCACATTGGTTCAATTGGTTGTGTAGAATTGCAGGCCCAACATGCGGCGCGGTCCGGGAAAACTAAAACACGCCCGGTGAGTGGCCGGGAGTGGAATCACGTGGGTCCTGGCAATATTTGGCGGTGAGATATGATTGGGGAAGATTTCGATATGGGTTTTTTTTGGTGACGATCACTTCAAATTTAATCATCAAATCACTTTACAGAAAACAATAAATCACATCTTACCATTGCTATATTTTTGCTGGACTGTTATCACAAGATTCCAATCAGAATAGTGTCAGGATTCCTTTTGGACTTTTGCAATACATATTCTATTCTCCCTGTACCCAAACAAAACTCCAGTACCACATAAGCCCTGCTTGTACCCTGGTCTTCTGGATACATTACCTATCAAAAGTTCTAATACTCACGAGAATATATAGTTTTGAGACTTCATTACCCAATCTTTTGCATCTCGGTTTTACCATTGGGTCCTATCACTGAGACACAATACTGAGCCGAGACTCTCCAAAACGTCCCCTCCATATCTCAAACCCAACAACTCACCTGACCTACCTACCCACCATGACATCAAGCAAACGCACCTCCCCTCCCACAGAAGCAATGGACAGCGAATCGACGCGCCCCCGAAAAATTCTCGACGCCAAACTCCCCTCGAGAAAACGTACGGCTCTCGGCAAAACTTCTCCAAACACCACCACTCCACCATCCACAAACCCAGCCAAATCCTCATCTCCCGCATCTTCCCAGGCCAACACATCATCCGAAGCCGAAGCTTCATCATCCGAACCCTCTTCTGATGCCGACTCCGAGGATGAGATTCCCATGATCCGTCCCCTAAATGCTCGTCCCGTCATGCGTGTATCCACACTTGACGGATTTGGTGCTTCAGAAGGTCTCAACAATCTTCCTGATTTTCTGAAACAGATGAAAGAAGCGAATGAAGAATTGATGAAGAAGATTGAGAAAGGAGAAGATAGGAAATTGGAGGATGTGAAGGAGGGAGAAAGTTATGTGGAGATGAACTTGGGACTGGGTGTTTTGGAAGAAACGAGGGACGGGGAAAGGGGGAGCGAAAGTGAGAGTGAGGCCGAGGAGCAAGATGCTGATGGCGATAGGAAGATGGAGGAGGGAAAGAAGGCCGGAATTGAGGAACTTTAAAGTACTAGGATACCACGTATTGCTTTGGTGTAATTATTAGGATACAAATTGAAATCATAGATATTCAAGACTGGAGTGCTATTTGATTGACATATCCGATTGGTACGTCAAAAATTGCTATCACACTTCAAACTGGGTGTACAATTTACATCACTCATTGAGCAGAAGAATTAACTTTGTTTTAACGACTTAATTCTACAAAAAGACATACTGTTTGCACTGTCTTGAAGTCTATGCGCCTCGATTAACGGACATTGATCCCCTTGATCTGATCCAAAGATATGGCACACTCAGATTACCACCGCTAATATTAACCAATGCCTGATTAGACTCTATGAGCCGTGCCATAGTCCATGACTCTGCATATCCTACCCCCAATCCCTTTCCTACCCTTGGTATAATAAAAATGCAAACCTCCCATAACACCAACGCTTGCCCTATTTTCCCTTCGTGAAACCATACCAATCCATAAAAACCCGCCCTCTCCTCATAATCATACAACATTGACCGTCATTTCCCTACCGAAACGCCCCTTGTCATCACAGATCTTCTTCCTAAACATATCTAGATCCTTTAACAAATCGCCCATGAAACCTTGCATCTCGCTCGCTCTCTCCTCACGTGCACCCATATCGATAGCTTCGTCTTCATCTGAATACTCATGTTCATAGCCATCTTCCTCATTAGTCGTTTCATCGATAGTTCTGTTCTCCTTATCGTGCCCAAAATCGCCCACGTTATCAAAATTAATACTGCCCATACTAATAGTTCTAGCAGGTTCCACTTTGATTGGATTCTTCAAGCTCTCCAAAGCTAATTTAAGATGCAATCTCAAGGCGTCATTCTCAGTCGTCAAGCTTCGAATTTTACCTTCTGATATCATGGTTCTGTCTTCCATCATTCTTTGCATGAGTGCAATTTTATTCTGGTATTGCTCAAGTCTTTCGTCTTGTGCTTTAGTTTCTGTTTCTTTTCTTGTAGAGTCAGAATTGGAAACTTGAAGTTGTAGAATGCGAATCTCCTCTGCCATGGCGGCAATCTGAGCATCACGTTCCGCAGCGGAAACGTGATCTTGGTTGACGACGGCACGCGTGCGAATGCGTTTAGCTTGGTCGGCATAGCGAAGGGTAGAGAGAGTTTCGTCGTAATCGGAAGGGGAAATGCACGCAATCATTGCGGTTTTACTATTTCCTCCCAATGAATCTTTGAGCAGCCAGGTAAGGATTGAATCTCTATAGGGAACGACATCTTTGTTGCGTTTTACGGTACGTTGTTGCTTTGGATCTGCGAGAGCTGCAATGACACGACCGAGAGTTGTCAGAGACTTGTTAATATTGCTTCCCTCACGTAGGCGAGCACCTGTTGCTTCTGTTGCCTTTGCACGTTCACTACCTGCAAGATCCACTAGTCGAATTCTGGCAGTACGTTCTGTTGTTTCATCCGTCTCCATATCGTGGTGGATCTGCTTGAGCATGATGGTAAAAACACTATGACTTCTGCTACTTGTATCGTTCATCTTAGTACTTGCTGTGGTTCGACTGGCATCTCCCATCTTCATGTACCGCATAATTTCAGAAAGATTCTTAACAGGTACATCGGTCAAATCTTTGATATAAGGTCCTTCGGTGGGGGATTCACGAATCTTTAGATAATAGGGTGGTTGATTGGGGTGGAATGGAACAAGAAGATCTCGGACATGTTCGTTATAAACTTCGAAATAAGATACACGGACATTATAGGAAATGTTTGGACTTTCATTATGTGCTGCCTCGATCCGCTCAAAAAGGTCTTCGCAGGTCCTTGGTATTAATCCTGGCTGATCTTCTGTACCCATCATTGTATAACTCTTTCCTGATCCAGTCTGGCCATATGCAAAGATGCATGTATGATATCCTTCGAAGTTATGGTCCAAGAATTCCTCCCCCAAACTATTATAAACATCCTCCTGGTGTGCATAGTGTTCATCAGACTGGTTGTGGCTCCAAAAGGACTTGTCGAATGTAAAGACTTTCTCTTCGATGACTCTGCGCATCTTCGAACGAGAGTTTGCAGGATCGGTATCGTTTGGTACTAGAAGAGTGGTTGCTTGCGTTATTGGATTCATATCAATCAGACACTTAGCTCCTCTATTAATTTCTATTTCGCCATTAGTAAAATAACCTGACTTCCTGTTCTACTTTTAAAATACTCACCTCTAGGAAGAAATCCTCTAACTCTAACCACAACTCTAACATTTCCGCCCGCATCTCTAGCTGTAGATACAACACTATCTCTCCTCGATCG